AAACGTTTCATTAGAGAAGAACCCGTCCAGAAGACCTATACAATTTTTTTCTTTTTGATTTTTTACCTGGATTACTGAGATGCATCAGGATACTTTTAGTTCTCTTTACGCTTCTTAATTACGTTATACATTAGACACTTTTTAAAGTTTAGATATAAGTCTAAGTAATATGTTTTTCTCTTTCCTGGTTAGGTTGACCCGGACCTTCCACCTGGTGCAGAGGCCTGGCGCCCACTGAGGAGGCCTGAACTGGGTGGGAGGAAGAAAGCACGATGAGCGGGAACAACACGCTTCTGAAAGTCATTCTGCTGGGAGACGGCGGCGTGGGGAAGTCCTCCCTGATGAACCGCTACGTCACAGACCGCTTCGACTCGCAGTCCTTCCACACCATCGGCGTGGAGTTCCTGAACCGGGACATCGAGGTGGACGGGCGCCGGGTCACCCTCCAGATCTGGGACACGGCGGGCCAGGAGCGCTTCAAGTCGCTGCGCACGCCGTTCTACCGGGGCGCCGACTGCTGCCTGCTCACGTTCGCCGTGAACGACCTGCAGAGCTTCCAGAACCTCGGCTGCTGGAAGAAGGAGTTCCTGTACTACTCCGACGTGAAGAACCAGGAGCGCTTCCCCTTCGTGGTGCTGGGCAACAAGGTGGACGTGGAGCAGCGGGAGGTGGGGGAGGACGAGGCGCGGGCCTGGTGCGAGGAGAACAGCTGCTGTCCTTATTTTGAGACCAGYGCTAAAGATGACACGAATGTCACGGCTGCGTTTGAGGCGGCTGTCAGGGAGGTTTTGGCTGCTGAGGACCAGATAGGGCACACGCTGTTGACCAGTACCATTGATCTTCACGGCAACAGAAAAGCACCTCGTTCCTCCTGCTGCTGAGTGTGCAGTTCCCAATACCTCGTGTCCTAAAGTTCCTGGCTAAAACTGGCCAGTATTGGTCCTGACAGCAGGTGTCCAGTAGGGTTAGGGTACTGATAACGACATCCATGGACGGTACACAGCTGCTCTAAGGAAAGGGGCGTATCCAGGATTTTTTTTAGCTGATTGGTTGATTGTTGAATGATTGCGCTTATGAAGGTACGACATCTTGTGTGCTCTTTCAGTGGTATTACACAAAAGGTTTTCGCTCCGCTTCTGCCTCTGCTTATACAGAGGCCATATCAAATGTTGCAATGAAGCAGTTCCTTCACTTAATGAATTAATAATATGAAACAAAGACCAGTCCTCTCTAGCAGAACTCGTCACACAGTAATATACGGTTGCTCCTCTGACGGCTCATATTTCTGACCTTCGTTTCCTGACGTTTTAAGGATCGACTCCCCTCATCGTGCTTTTTATGATCAACTGAAGGGACACTACAGGTACTTTCTTTGTGATTGACAAGTCTCCCCAAGCTGTGGAGACCCCCACAATCAGTGTCATTTAATATGAGGTACAATGAATTTCAAATATTTCTGCCTTGGAAAGGAAGAAAAGCTCATTTGCTTTCGTCGTTCCAACTTTGAGCTTTGGGTACAGGCTGATGTGGTACTCAAAATGATCCATATCTTTATTTTCTTTTGCAGATGCACTGTGATGTGGCTGGTTGTACCAGGGAATGAGTATTCATTTTTTATCTTTTGTTAATGGGATTGTTTATTTCGCAAGAAAATTAACTTTTTTTTTTACAAAGTTCAATTTAGTGTAGCCTCTGGTACTATTGAATGTTTACTTTGTGAAACACATTTCCGTTCGTCCTACAAATGTTTCCTTTTTCTTCACTTTCTGTTCAATAATTGAGCTCAGTGTTTGATCAGACATTTTAACCCCCCCACCGCCGCCCCTCCTGATGAGTAGAAGAGCTTTTAATTATAAATGACATCCTTGTAATGCTGCGTCTGCCTTGATGATTGCGTAGTTGGCCTTAACATTCCATTCTTTTAGCTTTGCCTTGCCCGAGGGTCTCCTGTGCACAACTGATAAATGACACACACCTCGTGCTGTCAGCGCGGCCATTAAAGGTCTTAGCTAAATGTGAAATAGCTTGAATTACTTTGTGTATAGATTTTACATCGCCTTCCTCCTTTGATACAGTATTTTGTGAAACGTGCTGAGTATTCGAACATGTTTACCCCTGAGTTTCACCTGAGTTGTATTTATTACTTTTTGTTCTATTTACATACCTGTTGATTGGCCACAGGTACTTTTTAATTCTTAGGTTTTACTACTGGTGGCCACAAACATTGGGCCTCATGCAAGAACCGTTCGTACGCACAGATTTGTTCTTAAATTGTGCGTACGAGTGATTTAGGAGAATTTGTGGCATTCACCAATGT